CGCTTTTATTAGGGATGAGACTGGGCGGTAGAGACGACCCGAGCTGCCACTTTTGGGTTAAGAAAGGCACCAGGTTGAGCAGAAGTAGATACAATATAATGTTTAAGCACGCCGCGAAAAGGCATCGCGCCGGAATGGCTCAGTGGTAGAGCATCTGTCTTGTAAAACCGCGAGGTTAGACGAGCTCAACAGAAGGTCCTGTGTTCGATCCACAGTTTCGGCAGCTTACGACTGTTTTGTTCACTTTTTGCTCAGAACCATTCGATGCCGATGCCGCTGGTGCCGGTCCATGAGCCCTCCATCAGACGGCTCTCGCGCGTCTGTGCGCGCTGCGGTACCGCTTCACTGCAAGGTACTCTTGCGGTACCCACGCTTTTGCACTGTTCAGCCATGCCTTGGTACGGACCGGGACCCTTCGCTTGCTCAACGCGAGTCGCGGGCCGGTTTTCTCTTTTTGCAACATTCTCTTTTTGGCGAGACCTAGAGCAGTGAGCATTGAGCATTCAAGTGAGTGTGCATTCAAAGATTCTGCATTTTTTATCATGCACTGCCTGCATGCCATCTCCAGCATTGTCTTGCACGTTCCTTTCGTGATCCGCCGAAGGACAGAAGGAGGCTGCACATTCTATGCCTCTGACAACTTGAGTCTGCTACTGAGCGGCATAGGGGCGGCATAGATGATCATTGCATTCATGGTTTCCATGGGCCGCATGGCACCCGCATATCGCCGGAGCACCGTGGGCCCCATGGCATTGTGCAAATTGAAGCGTTGGCATGCCTTTGAGCTGCCACTCTCTTTGTGAGTCACGGTTGGCTCGGGATAGAATGGGGTGTGATTTGGCTCGTTAGACTCCGGCCCCGCCCTTAGCAAGCCATACCTTTTATAGTGGAGATTCTCCGGATCCTCCACGGCGGCTAGGTGCGTTCAGTCTTGAGAAGCATACTCACATCCCACTCACATTGCCGCGGGTCTTGAAATGCCGCCAATCCGAGCACTTTCAATAGCTTGAATTCTGATGAGAGTGCTTAGCCCTACGACCTTATTTCATTAGTAAGATCCATTGTGGGCCCACTGCAGTGCAACAGTGGAACAGTGACCGTCGGCGAGTGGCCAGCGGGAGACGGAGTGCACTAGTGCGACAGCCCGATTGGTCGGGCACTGCGTCACATCATTTTTCAAGTGACTTTCCCACTGCAGGCCCAAAGTTTTGCAGTCTGAGCAGTCGGATCCACAGATCTGTTAGAAGTACGCCGGTCTAGTTGTCAGTTGATGACTAAGCTAGGCCAGTTGCAATCAGTAGTACTTCGCACCGTACGATTTATTGGATGATCGAGGTACGACCGTCGATCTGATAGGTATTAGGGAAGATGCAGATAGGTATTCTATGCTGCGGACTTGGTGAAATTCATTCGTAGGAATCGCTCCTCTGCACAAGCGCCTTTCTTCTCCACTCAGCGCATCTTCTCAAGCATGCTTGTTTCGTGACCATCTGCACCTGTATAGCTGCATGACCTGAATGGCTTCCGCCTAACAGGTTATGGGCCCACCAACACCACCGTTGGTGAACGACGCTCATTAGAGGATCGGATAGCTGACAGTTTGTTACCATTCTGGCTGGTTCGTTGGGAGGCGATCTGCATCAGTTGCTAGAAGGCAGCTGATCCATTTGGCTACGACCAGATCCTCTAAGGGGGACTCTGTGAGCTGAGTGGCACCTGTGAAGCCCTGTAAGGGTGATCAAGGTGGCGGTGTGACAGCCTTGGGAAATATCCCACGCCCAGTCAGCACTCCCTGGGGGGTGCGTGGTAAGTCAGTGATCCTGAGCACCGCAGCTTAGAGGCAGGAAGCAGCTTAGAGCAAAGGTCAGTTTGACAGGGCTCTAAGGGATCAGGCTTTGATCATGGCAGATTCGACAGAGAAGATCCAGATTGAGAAGCTCAAGGGAGCGGAGAACTTCCAGACGTGGAAGGTCCTGATGCAGCTTCTGCTAACGGAGAAAGGGCTGAGAAAGTGCATTGACCCGGAGAGCAGGTCAAGTGAGGAGATGGCTCAGAGAACTAACGCGGTAAAGGCCAAAGAAGAAGAAGAGCAATCGAAGGCCTTGGCTGCCATTGGTCTGAGAGTTTCTCCTGAGTACCTTGGCATCATCACAGACGCTAACGGTTCTGCTCGAACCGCTTGGAACGAATTCCAGAGGATGTTTCAGTCTGTGACAAATGCAAGGAAGATGATGCTCAGGGAGAAGTTGGCAGGACTGAGAATGGAGCCTGGAGAAAGTGCCGCGAAGTACGTTGCGAGAGCCAAAGACCTCAAGAGGGATCTAATCCAGGCAGGGCTGGATGCAGGTGATGTAGATCTGGCAGCAGCTTGCGGATTGTCCAGATCATTCAGGGAGATAAGAATGGCTCTGGATTTGCAGGATAAGCCAATCTCCTTGGACGACATGCTCCCTCTCTTTCTGCAACATGAGGCTAGATTGGAAAGAGACGAAGAATCAGAGCAAGCTGAGACTTCGAATTCAATGGCCTTCGTGAGCAGAAACCCCAGGCAGCACTTCGGAAAAAGCAGGAAGGGAAGCTTCAAGTGCTGGACTTGTGGAGAAGAAGGACACAGGCAGTCAGAGTGCTCAAAGAATCCAGACGCTCCGAGGAATCCTCACGCAAACAAGGACTGTCACAGATGTGGGGAGAAGGGCCACATCGAAAGGAACTGTCCAAAGGTAGACAAAGGCAAGTCATCTGACAGAGGCTCTTCAAAAGGAGGGAAGAGAGGGATGAAGAAGTCGATGGCGTTCGCCAGTCCTCCTGACAGAGATCTGTCCGAAATGTGGATTCTGGACTCTGGAGCAAGCGCGCACCTCTGCTGTCAGAAAGAGTTCTTCTCAGACCTGAGACCAGTGAAGGAGGGAGAGGCAAGTGAGATCCAGGGGGTTGGTGACACTGTCAAGGTCGAAGGGATTGGGACAGTGGCCTTGATCTGTGAGACTTCTGAGGGCGAGAAAACGGAAGTTTATCTCGAAGAAGTCAGATACACCCCAGAAGCTCAAGTGAACCTAGCCTCTCTCAGCAGATTCCTGGCAAAGGGTGCGAAGCTCAGCAGCGAGGGAAGCGTGGTGAGTCTGAGCATGGAGGGCGAAGAATTTCTGGAGGCTGAGAACGAGAGAGGGGTGTCGGTGATCCGAACGGTGAAACGGAAGCCGGTGGCGTTCGCAACCAGCCAAGTGGAGCAGGCCAGACTCTGGCACAGACGGTTGGGTCACGCGAGCTGTGAAGCCCTGGCGACCATGTCCCGAGACTCTCTAGTCGAAGGACTTCCCCCCCCTCAAGCCTTTCGGAAAGCTGGCGAAACCCTGTGCGAAGACTGCGTCCTGGGGAAGCAAACGCGGAAACCCTTCCCCCCGAGCGACCGAGAGAGCAGCAGACCGCTGGAGCTCATCCACACGGACCTGTGCGGGACCATTCCGTGCAAGTCAGCAGGCGGAGCGAGGTATGCCGTCACGTTCATTGACGACTTCATCCGGTGTGGGGTGGTTCAGCTGCTGCAGAACAAAGAGCAAGCGCGGAGAGCTCTGGAAGCCTACGTCAACTTGGTTGAGAACCAGTTGGGGCTGAAAGTCAAGCGGATTCAAAGCGACCGAGGCGGAGAGTACTGGAACGGCGAGGTCAAAGAGTTCTGTGCGAAAACGGGAATTTTCCACCAGAAGACCAACGCCTACTCGAGCCAAGAGAACGGAGTCGCTGAGAAGTTGAATCGAACGCTGATGGACAAGGTTCGTCCAATGCTTTCAGAAAGCGGCTTGGAGCTGAAGTGGTGGGGCGAGGCAATTCTGACGGCGAACTACGTCAGAAACCGGACTCTGACGAAGAAGACGGGAAAGACGCCGTACGAGATGTTCTTCGGGAAGAAGCCTGACATCAGCAATCTGCGCGTCTTCGGAGCCCCTGCCTTCGTCCACACCCCCGCGCAGCGCCGGAAGAAGCTCGATCCCGTCTCCAAGCCTAGCATCTTTCTGGGGTACGAACCGGGGACAAAGGGGTACCGGATCCTGCTGACGTCAGACAAGCGGACGATCGTCGTCAGCAAGGACGTGACGTTCAACGAGCGGGAGCGGAACGAGGGGAGCGGAATCTGGGAAACGGAAACCCCTCAGCCCCTGCAAACGGCGGTCCCTCCTGTTCCTGCGGAACCAGAAGTGCCCGAGGGAGAGAAGGATGCAGAGCTGAGGACTCGAGGGAGAGCGGAACCGGAACAGCGGAACGGCCGGAACGGCCGGAACGACGCGACGGAACTCCCAGCGGAACGGTCGGCAGAACCGGAACAGACGACGGAAAAACGCGAGCGCAGACCCAGTCAGTGGTACTCTGCGAAGATTGGGCCACCGTGGCTAATCTCGCGAAGGAACCGGAGCCGGCGGAACCGCAGACCTTGGACGAAGCCCTGGGAAGCCCGGAAGCGGAACTCTGGCGGAAAGCACTGGAAGAAGAGTTCGCGAGCCTGCAGGAAAACGGCACGTGGGAGCTGCGAGAGCCACCTCCCGGCGTGAAACCGATTCCGTGCAAATGGGCATTCAAGCTGAAGAAGGACGAGAACGGGAACATCGCCCGGTTCAAGGCCCGTCTGTTCATCAAGGGGTTCAAACAGAAGAAGGGGGTGGACTACGAGGAGGTGTTTGCACCGGTTAGTCGCCACGTCACCCTTCGGAGTCTGCTGGCGGTCGCGGCGGCGCAAAACCTGGAAGTCGACCAGCTCGACATCAAAACGGCGTTCCTCAACGGCGACCTGGAGGAGGAAATCTGGATGGAGCAGCCGGAGCTGTTCGAGACCGGGGGAGAGAAGCTGGCGTGTCGACTGAAGAAGTCGCTGTACGGGCTCAAGCAGGCACCACGGGCCTGGTACTTGAAGCTAGCGGCAGAGATGCGAGAGCTAGGGTTCGAGCCGTCTGCAGCTGACCCTGCTCTGTTCATCCGGAAAGAAGAGGACGGGAAGAAGGCGTTTACGGCGGTCTGGGTCGACGACTGTCTGGTGGTCGGGGAAAAGGACGTCGTGGCGCACGTGAAGGCAGCGCTCGGGCGAATCTTCACGGTGCGAGACCTGGGACCGGTGCGGTACTTCCTGGGGATGGAAGTGACGCGCGATCGAGAGGCGAGGACGATCAAGCTGACGCAGAAGCGGGCGGCGTTGGACCTGCTGAACCAGTTCGGGATGGAGGCAACGCGCGCGCGGCGTGTACCGCTCAACCCCGGCGAGAAGGTGCAGAAGCAGGGAGAGCCGCTGGACGCGGAGCGCTACCCGTACGCGAGCCTGGTGGGGAGCCTGCTGTACCTGGCCAACTGCACGCGGCCGGACCTGGCGCAGGCGACGGCTTCGCTCGCGCGCTTCATGAGCAGCCCAACGGAGGACCACTGGCGGCTGGCAAAGTCGGTTCTGAGTTACCTAGCGGGAACGGTGGAGTCGGGGCTGACGTACGGAGCGGAGAAGCTGGAGTTCGAGGGGTTTTGTGATGCGAATCACGGCGGGGATCCTGACACGAGACGGAGCACAACCGGGTACGTGTTTCTGCTGGGCGGAGCAGCGGTGAGTTGGGCGAGCAAACTGCAGCAGACGGTCGCGTACAGCACGGTGGAGGCGGAATACATGGCGGCGGCGCACGCGGCCAAGGAGGCTCTGTGGATCCGGAAGCTTGCAGCGGACCTAGGACTGGAGAGCGGACGACTGACGGTGTGGAGCGACAACCAGGGGGCGCTTCAGTTGATCAAGCACCCGATCACGTCGCAACGGAGCAAGCACATTGACATCAGTCATCATTTTGTCAGAGAACGAGTGATCCGGGGCGAGCTCAAGTTTGAGTACTGTCCGACGACCAAGATGCCTGCAGATTTCTTGACCAAGGCTTTGGCAGTTGCAAAGTTTGAAGAGTGCAAGAAGTTGATAGGGTTGGAGTAGCGTTGCAGACAGGTCGTTGCCATTGGACAAAAGTACTACGATTGAGGGAGAGTGTTAGAAGTACGCCGGTCTAGTTGTCAGTTGATGACTAAGCTAGGCCAGTTGCAATCAGTAGTACTTCGCACCGTACGATTTATTGGATGATCGAGGTACGACCGTCGATCTGATAGGTATCAGGGAAGATGCAGATAGGTATTCTATGCTGCGGACTTGGTGAAATTCATTCGTAGGAATCGCTCCTCTGCACAAGCGCCTTTCTTCTCCGCTCAGCGCATCTTCTCAAGCATGCTTGTTTCGTGACCATCTGCACCTGTATAGCTGCATGACCTGAATGGCTTCCGCCTAACACTGCTCATGAACATATGTTGCCTACATTTTTGACATGGTAACGACGTCACCTCGACGTCATCTTCGATTTCGATTTGAATACAGGGTCAGCTTCGCCACTCAGAAAGCTTGAATCTGGTCGAGGGTGAGCAACGAAGACAGCCTCCTTGGGGCCTGGCGACTTCTATTCAGGGTTCCGTTCTATTCAGTTTTGCGCATGGAGACAGATTGGCCAACGTGAACAAAAGGTGAACAAAAGCTTCCGATATGCTGCTGGGACGTCAAAGTGTTTGCCCTCACTACTAATCGGCTAAGAAGCTAAGAAGATTTTTACTGTACGCGCAGGCGATGCCCTTTTTCCCTTTCCCATTCTTCAGCACAGGCGCTATTAAAAGTCTGACGTGCTCTGCTACGGTACCGTGAAAACAATGGGCTAAGCTCATAAAAAGTACTTCGCATTCCTCGGAGGGTGTCGGCGTCCAGTTTTGAACCCGCAACCACATGGGTCGCGGTTGCGTTCGACGACCAACAGGCTGAATCACGAGGGGATTGTTGCTACGCCGACAGCAAAAAAGGCTGCTGAAAATACCGTGTACCGTACGTCATGGTAATGTCACCTTGACGCACGTCGACACGGCGCTCTGCACTCCGCTGCCATGGAATTGCGACAGCAGGCGGGCGGAAGAGCGGAATAAGCCCGGGGTGGCAACTCCCCCCCAACTTCCCAGTTTTAAAACATGGTATCTGCGGATTAAAACAAGGGGTTTGGCCGTTTTGAAACTTTAAAACTGCCTTTTAAAACGTTTTAAAACAGTTTTAAACGGCATGAAAAGTTCAATTTGTATCATTTTCCTTGTTTTTATGGCGCCTGTCGGCTTGTCAAGAGCTCGAATGCCGCATCCATGCACATTTATGTATATTAGGGTGACAAAACAGGCCAAAAGGGCCTCGGGTTGTCGCCTTTCCTTGTTTTAATACACTTCATACGCGTTTTAAAACGGTTTGCTGTTTTG